GTCAAATAATGTCGGTGACAGGCCATCGATTCGAGAGCAGTCTGCGGGCAGCTCCGTCTCTCCGTGAGAGACGAAGCGGAGCAACGTACTGTCTGCATCAAGTGCCCATCATGGGCAGCAGTAATGCCAGCTTTTGTGGATCCTCCTGACTGGCCGACTTTTTCAAATTGCACTATAAATGGAAACATTGAAATTAATTGTAAATAAAAAAGCTAGCATGTAGACAAATGACCCTCTCTTTGATCTGATTAATTTATTGCCCTATAAGCGCAAATCGCAGGTGCTCAGAAGTAATTGTTTTGGGATTTTTTTTTTTTTTTTTAAATTTTTGTTTGATTAATTGTTTTATGTGTATTATTATTTATCTTTTACAAATATGTGTTTTATAATGCATTCCTCAGGATTCTTTGTAGAAAAAGATCAGATTCAATTGTCTTCATGTAATTTCTGTTACATTTTCAAGTTAACCAATATAAATATGTTACCCGCTCCAAGTAAGATGCCAGTCGGTCATTGAGGATCTGCATTGTCTGCTTTTCGTTGGGATACAGCTTGACCTCGTTAACAGCCGTCGTCAAGGATGAAGTGGACAAAGATCTGGAGAGGCGGGCTCCATAGCCCCCAGCGCTGCCATAGTTTTGAGCACCAAAAGACAAATTGACCCCTGAACTCCCCAATCCATTCATGACCAGTCCACCAGAGGAACCATGGCCGGCTGACCCGAAAACACTCCGAGTGGTGAACGTCTTACTACTGCGACGGACCGACATGGCTAATTCGGAAGATCTGTGGATGGATGTCTGCCAATGTTGAAATTAACTAACTAATTTCCACCAAAGACTGACTTATATAGCCCTGCTGCATCCAATGGTGTCAGGTTTCCAGTTCCAGTGAATAGGTGGACCCGCCTGAGCCCGGATTCTTATTAAAACCATTGACTTCAAAAACCTGCTATCACACCCTTGACCTTCAAAACTATGTAAAATGATTTGTGGCTTAAAGAGATTACATCTTTCTTCAACTGCTGTACTATTGTGTAAACTTGTATTGGTCATGTGCCAGTTATAAGTATTAACAGTGTTTTTTCTTCTTTTAAAAGCAACCATTAATTATACATATATGTGACAGTATTAAAGAATATAACTCTTAAAGCAATATTCTTTTTTGTTTATTTTGTGTATTCACCACAACATTCATCAGGTTTGCTTTTCCGCTCTTCTGACAAACATTGTTCTTGCGCTCAAAATGTCATGTTCCTGAACTATAATAACCATTAATTATCATGATGAATGGATGTATGGTAAAAACACATCTCTTCAGTACATTTTTTTCTCCATCAGTAGCCTAATACCAGATCACCGTCTCTAAAAATGTTGTCGTAACTTGTAATTACACAGATTGTCTGGTATGTTTGACAGTAATGGGGATACATATGTTGACATTTCTTAAGAAATCAATCATCATGTCAAGCTATTCTGACTGTCAGAACAAATTCCTGGCCCGACCCATTCTGATGAAAATATTTCACTCAGTGTTTTCACTTTTAATTGCATGTACATAGTTCCTTTTGGCAGATTTCTTTTGAGAAAGAAAATAATTTTGTCTAATTAACTTTAACAGTTTCCAAGGTAAAATGTATTGTTGATATGCATTATTAATCATAATTCATATTAACAATACAATTGTTGTACAATACAACAATACAGAAACTCGCCCTGATGTTGTTGTTTTTTCATTTATATATATATATATATATATATATATATATATATATATATAATACAATGAAAGTCTGTGAAAACCAAACATTTTTGGTTACCAACATTCTTCGAAAAATCCACAGAAAGAAAATCATACAAGCTTGGAATGACATGAAGGTGAGTAAATGATGACAGAATTGTCATTTTTAAAATTCCTTTTTTAGTTATTCTTTTTTAAAAGAGTTTCATCCTTGCTATGAAGCTGTTTTATTTATTACGATATAGGGATACTTGTATCATCAGCCTGACATTCTTACTTTATATCCCCCCAAAAATATCAAAATAACATATCAAAATTACCTTTAAATCAGAAATTTAAAAAAAAATGCTTATCATAGAGTGGGTGCATTTAAGTAATTCTATGTGTGTACGGAACATGAGTTTATAGATCACATCATTGTCCCATTATGTCATCAAAGCTAATACTGAAGATATTGAAAAAGTGGAATACTAGTAATAAAGAAGGATACAACACATCATCTGATGTCATATACCTCAATATAGGCTATGCTTTTAAAGATGAATTGGCAATTATTTGTTCACCTCAGACACATGATAGCAGAGGATTGTGATCTTGGGTAAAATCTTTAGGTACATACATCTAATGTTCCTGAGAGGAAGCAACAGACTCCTCTCCAGCAATAAAATCAAAAGCACTGCATCACAGCCTCTCACAGTCAGTTCATTTGAATCAATACCATCGTTTTATAAAAAATAAAAAAAACAATAAAAAAATTGATGGTAAATCATATAATATTACATTAGTACAAAAAATTTGATGACAACTTGGGTGCTGACATGAATAAAAAAAATCCATTGCTAATTCTTTTTCACAGGCCACGTACACGTTAATGTTGTTTCCCATTAGTTAAGTGCCGTGACTTTCCTGATCATATGGTTTTGTAATGTTTGCTATGTTGAATAGAACAAAAACTATTGAATTTCCCATGTCATGTTCTGTTTACTGTCATTTCTGACGTATTTAGCTTAAGCATGCTCCTCCTCTTGAACAATAATTATCCAAATCCATTGATTACCGCTTATGTTTTTTACCTGCAAATTAAATATAAGGGGCCTGACCAGATATTTTGTATTACAAGGTTTTAATCTTACACTCTGTTAAAACGTCTGGCTCAGCACTATTCAGGTAAATCAGTTTTTACTTCAATATCCATCTGAAGATAGTAGCCTGAATCTGTTTGGAATATGATATTTGGTTTCTAGCTCGTTAGCTGGAATAAGTTTGTTCTTTTCTGATCTAAGTTGGTCTGATCTATTTTCTGGCACACCATCTTGGATCTACAATTTAAACAAGCAACCAGTCCAATATCACTTCAGTTGGCTTTAGGGACATTGTGACTGGCTAATAACTAGCCTGAACCAGCTATAAACCATCTACCGTGTTCAAAATTTGTTTTATACTAACATGGATTTCCAGCAGAAATGGGTCGTTTTTATTTAACTTTATTTTTATTTACACTGCTTTTAAATTATTGTAATAATTCTTCACAGATATGATGGCCAAGTGCATTGTATTGACCGCTATAGCGATGCTGGCAGTGGCGTGTGTAGCTTCTCCTCTGTCCAAAAACAAACCTGCGGACACAAAGGAAATGGCAGGACTTCCGGAGAGACCACCTGAGACACCTGAGAGACTGCAGGCCCTTGTGAGGCGTTCACTGCAGCTGTCGGAGGATCAGCGCGAACTCATGTCCCGGCAGCTCTTACAGGCACTATCAGGTGCGTGTCTCTGAAGATGAAAAAACATGAGAAGAAACAAAGCCTCGCTCTTACTTGCTCTTCTTCGTGTTTTGGGCAGAAATCATCCAGCGAGAGGACTGCGTTACAGATTACCAAGGCTGGGTTGATTTTGGGCGCCGAAGTGCAAACTGAGACTGTATGCAAAGCAGTAAAAACTCTGTACTGTGATCTGTCAATAAATATATTTGCAACTATATGTGTTTGTGTCATCAGATTGCGAATTAATTTGAAAAATGATGTACACTCACTCACGTAGATAGATAGATAGATAGATAGATAGATAGATAGATAGATAGATAGATAGATAGATAGATAGATAGATAGATAGATAGATAGATAGATAGATAGATAGATAGAGTAAAACTCTATCGAGTAGAGCAGCATAGAGTAAAAAAGTTTTTTATAAAAATAAATAAGTATAAAAATAAAAATATGAACCTATATCCTCATATACACATACACATTCAAATACAAAACATACAGGCATATACGCACACACCCACGCAAGTCTCAAGTGTTACTACAAACTTCTAAAGAAGAGTATACTAAAGTTCACCAAAAATCTCAAACGCTTGAAATGACTTAAGTGTTTGGTTGCATAAGTCATGATTAGATCATGTAGTAACACTAGTTAGTTCCAATGATCTTTACAGATCCAAATAATTAGTAATTCCCATAGAAGTATGAAGTACGACTCTCATCTGTGGGCTATTACTTACTAATTGGCTAATCAAAGGAAATAGAGTTTTTTAGTTAAGAGTAGTTACTAGATTGTTAAAGGGATAGTTCACTTTGAAATTAATTTTTGTTTTAGCTTACCTCAAGGGCATCCAAGTTGTACAGTAGGTGTCCATGTTTCCACAGTATTTTCAATTTTGACATTTTTCGAGACATACAAAATGTGGGTCAAACATATCCTTATTATGTATAAGATAAACCTTATTTAATTAAGGCCTTAAACAAAACAAAACAAAAACATTGACTTTGGGACCATAAAGGCTAACTTGCTTCCAGGTTTTGGCCTACAAAAATATGTCATCCCTGCAGCTCTCTATTTTTCACTGTGCTTTTTTCAGACCATTTTAGGACACTTTTTATACTCTCTTTACTATCTCAAAATGTAGGTTATTTCAATTTATGTGATTATGTACATGGGGTGGCAGTGGCCCAGTGGTTCATGTAGGTTGTCTACAAACCAGAAGGCTAGTGGTTCAATCCCTGGTTCCACCTGACCAAGTGTCGAGTTGTCCTTGAGCAAGACACCTAACCCCAGCTGCTCCTGACGAGCTGGATGGCGCCTTGCATGGCTGACGTCATCGGTGTATGAATGGGTGAATGTGAGGCAAATTGTAAAGCACTTTGGTGGCCAAATTGTAGTGCTTTTGGTGGTGGGTCTGTGTGAAAGTGCTATATAAATGCATTCCATTTAAAATGAACAAAAAACAGAAAAACAGGTCAGTTCATAAACATACAGACATGTTTCAAAAAACACTGATATCTTTATTGCCATGTACACAATATCATATCAGTGCCCAAAAAAGTTACTTTAGATATAGTGAACTCAGTGGCTTCAATTCATTGTGAGACTAAACCATGTTCTAGTGTAAAAATACAACCATTACTCAACCTTTTTCCTTCTTTAAATTAATAATTCTTTAACACAAAATTCATTTTCATTTTTTTTAAAAACAACTCTATACATATTCTACAAAATTATTACCAGGCATTGTGTTTTTTAAAGTGGTATTTCAGGTAGATATATATATATATATATATATATATATATACTACTTTTTAAATAACAATTTTGTCTAAGACACTAGATCAGTAAATACTACACTGCATTATGTCCCTCTGAAAATCTCAAATGCATAGAAGGCTTTCCACATACATATATATTCCCATGTTTCTTTTCATTTGGCTGACCAACTCTAGTGGACATAATGATGAAATACGTTGATGGAAAGACAGGTTGTTGAAGTGAAAATAAAAGCTATGTTAAATGGACAATGCACCCAAGTGATCTTGTATCCAGTGATATAAATTCCCAAGACGACTCTATATTGTAATTACCTGATTGTGTATTTACTATGTTATGGCTCTAGAGCACTTAATTCAAGCAGAACTGCACCATTGACTTTATTACTGCATCCCTGATTCTGACAAAACACAATCATATGCATTACAAACTTTACAATTGGGTGAAAATGTGTCTGTGACATTAAAGTTACATTACATACAGTACATACGTGTGTGTGTGTGTGTGTGTGTGTGTGTGTGTGTGTGTGTGTACCATAACAAGAGGTGTTCTTGCATTAAAGCACAGTGAAAATAAAGCACAAGATCACTTCTATTTGCTCAACAAGTCTGTATAATGTTCCCTAAATTGACCACAGAAATACAGCTTCTCATTTATACAGTGTTCAGACTGCAGGCACGGTACATAACCTCACATAATGTACCCTGCATTCCCAAGAAAAAAGGGGTCCAAAAAAAGGGAAAACTTATTTCTCAGGAAACAGAACGCACTACTGACATTGATGCTTGGTTGGCAGCAAGCAAAAAAGGAGGCCACATAGTGCATTTTTCTGTAGTGTTGCTACAATTTCATAACAATAAAACTGTGATTTCAAGACTGATGGTGACAATGTCATGAAAAAATAGACAACATGTTAAAAAGTCAACAAATGTGCAGCTATTCTCTTCTGAAGAGTGTTCAAAACACCCAATGACAATGATACAAAAGATGTGTTTGACTTCTTAATGAAATATTTTGAGGTGCAGTTCATAATTCAAATTCCTAGTGACGCATACATTAAAAAGAAAATTTGATATGTCATTCAACTGGTATGGCTTCTGGAACGCCCCATAACAAATGGGGGAAGTTTAGCTGCATGCCAAAATGAGTGTGATGCACAAAATGGCACCGTTATTGATGAACAGCGTGAACAGATCTGTGCGTTTCATGGGGGACTATTGTATGGGTCTGGTTTTTCTGTTCGATAATAATCCATCAATCCTCTGGCAACCACTTTGTACAGGCCCAGGCTTCTGAGCTTTTCCACAAGGTTGACGCTGAAAATGTTTTTCTGCCGTTCCTTTTCTCTTTTTACTTCACTTGTATCAAAGGCTTGTTGTCTTTCCTCTGAGGATGCGGTGAGGGAGTGAATGAGAGGAGGGCGAGGATAGGCTGCGGCTGAGATGCCATGCTCGGATACAAGTTGGAGCAGTCCGAGGGAGGAGGACGGGTGGAGGTGTGATGTGGACCCAGAGACGCACTCGAGGCCTGATGACTTCCTCAATTGCTCACAGCTCCCACAAGCGGACGCACTGCGGGGCCGAAGGCTGGGGAGAGAACAAGGAAGAACAATGTCAGATGCTCCATGGGAAACTTTAGTCAGCTACACTAAACCACACCATGCTTAGGAATAAATGGATGTGAAGATGAGATTTGAACAAGTTGGTTAAAGGATAATTCCGGTATTTAACACCTTGAGTCTATTTTGTAGTTTGTTTTGAATGAAATAGAGTGGTGGAAACGTAGAAATTTTGACAATTGTTCCTGTCTCGACTTTTTGACTATTTTAGAATCGCCTGTGAGAGCTTTAGACTGGTTGTCTATGGGCATGCACAAACATGTCCTTAAAACAACCCTTAACGTTCATTTTCAAAACTGTGCAACTCACCGAGGGGTTGGTGGTGTTCGTTGATGATTAAAAACAAATATATCGGCGCAATGTATGCTTTCGATCCGTTTAGTTTGTTATAGTGGAACTATTTTTTCAGATACCTCACAACCGCGTTTAAACTTCCGCTCGATATTTGAGTCTGAAGCGTTAGCACACTCCCGACCACTTGATGGCGACAACCAGGACGCGGTACGTAACACGGTGTCTAGCGCACCGTAAAAAAAGTTGCTCTGCTCACGCTAGCCTTCTGGTAGTACCCCAGAGTGCACTCTGGACGATGGGGCGGGGCGACACTTTTGGGCGGAGCGACACGTGTCGCCCCGCCCACCTTAACGTTTATTGGTTTATAATAAAGATGATCTTATTGGTGCAGAGAAGTGTGACGCTATTACAGATTATTGGTGCAGAGAAGTGTGACGCTTCGGGCCGGCTGGGAATGCGGAAGAACACAACAGACGAATAAACTTGTTGATTTGGCGGACATTAATACGATTCCACATTATTCCATTGAAGTAGAAATACAAAGAGAATAGAAATAATGGTCTAATTCACAATCACTCCCTCAACAGCTGTAGTAAGTTAGATGGTCCGTTACCTCTGTATTACTCACTGTTTTTTTGTAAGTTAATGACATCTCGCTCTCTATCTATAGATAGATAGCGAGAGAGAGAGAGAGAGAGAGAGAGAGCAAACTATAGCGGACATGTCAACAGTCTCACCTGATAGTAACCACGAGTTTCCGTAATCCTACGAACATTTTTTTTAAACTACATTTACGGCTGTTAAACTTCACTGATCATAGCTCCAAAAAGCCATGGTAATCACAAATTAACTATGGTAATTAATTATAGTATTTGTGCGTTTACATAAATGTAATTAATAATGGTTGTACTATAATAAACCTATAAGGGAGTTTCTATACATGCTCTTAAGAACACAACAAAACAAAGACTTTGTCACTTTTTCTTTATTATAGACTCCAAACTGCACTTATACATCAGCAGAATGTAATTTATGCAAACCTTAAAGAACCAAGGTACTTTACCATATGCACAATTAGTGAAACCTATGTTTTTGCCATAGCTTTTCAATAGAACACTATACAGGTGAAACTCGAAAAATTTTAATATCGTGCAAAAGTTATAATTTTGATGAACATCAAATTCAAAATCTCACAAAATCAGAATATTACAAAAATGTAAGCCCTCTGAAAATTATATATAATCATGCCATATGCATATAGTTATTTATACTAAATATATTAGTTTCACTTTTTAATTTGAATTACTGAACATGAACTTTTGCACAATATTCTAATTTTTCAAGTTTGACCTTTAAGTTTACCTTTTAGTTGCATCAATTACTACATCAAAACCAGTTCATCTCTCAATTCCCATCTACAAGTTTTGAGTTTTACAGAAATTCATTTCCTGCAGCAAAAAAACAGTCCTGCGAGCAAAATCCTGTACAAAGATCTTCGCAGTAAAAGCCCAGCAGTTCCCCTAGTCTTCCTCTTCCCCTGTACCCTGGTGGATAGGACTTAAAAAAAGCTCCAAGCATTCCCTGAAGCTGTAGATCCGGCGAAACTCATCACAGTAGTCCGGAGAATTTTTTTTCCAGTTGACCACACCTTAAAATGTAAAGACAAAATACAGAAAAGATATAAGTGTGGAGATTCAAGTTTAAATGTCACATACCACACATTTCAATCCAAGAAATGTACATTGAACAGAAAAAAAACATCTTACAGTCTAGCCAGGCAAAGTGTGCTGCTTTCTGGAAAATTTCATTTGTGACCACATCCCTAAACCATCTGCATACCAGTGAAAGCGTCAAATATGCAGAATCACCAGTTGCTATTATTTCATGGGGAAGCTGTTGAAACAAAAAACATTGTTATTTATACTTGTATATAAATGTTGTTGAAAAAAATATAAACCTTGGTTCAGACAAACCTGATATATTGTTGTCAAAACTGCATGCTCTGAATAAAATAATAAATAAAGAGATACATATTCTCTTATAACGATAATATTAAAATAATATCGCTCCAACACACATTAGCCGCTTTCCCCACTGTCAGGCCAGTGTGGGCCAGGGCTTTCAAGGGTCGGGCGGTGTTAATAGCCTTGGACCTGTATCACCGAGCACAAAATCACACTGTGTTTCCACCGTTAGGAGAGAAGCTCTGCAGCGCTTCACTAAAGCCCTCCCTTAACATGCCTGTCTTGAACAATGACAAATAACTCCATTGTTTCACCAACAAATGGAAGTTTTACCAGAACACTATTCAAAGAAATTGCTTAATGAATGTATGTGCACAATAAATTACCTGAATCTCTCTGTCTGAATCTCCCCGAAGACATTGCCTTTTGTAAGGTTGAGTGCTAAGAAAAACAAATGACAAGAGGTAGGCATGTATATTGGTAGATGTAGTACATAAACTAATGTTTAATGTAGGAACATGCAAACAGCTACATGCATTTGCAGAGTGAAGTTGTCCAGTATGAGAGCACACCACCACCTCCTGATCAGGGGCATGTCATCCTGAATTTTTAAAATAATAATAATAAACAATTATGCATGTCTGTTTATTTAACGTGAAATATGTAATGAGGTAATGACATAACTCTGTAAAATCAAATCGGAGCCCCAAAGCCATGTATAGAGTGTACTGTTACAATTCACAAAGTGCAAGAAAATGAGCAGGGTATAACTTACAATAATTAACTACAATAACAATTAAAATTTAACCTACCATCAGTATGTAACAACATGTTTAAAGTTCAGTCTTTACTACTGCACTTTAATGTGACTAATGTTTTAAGATCACTATGCATACTAACTTTTATACAGTATATTATATTAGGGTTGCAGCAGTATGACAGTTTCATGCTTAAAAGAGTTATATCTCACACATTTGATTATTTACAGTACTGTACTATTGCTCTATATCAAATCTTAAATCCCGAGATCAATTTTTTAGCCTATGCTATTTTCAGTAGTTGCCCAACTAAACACTATTTATTGCATCCTTTCCATCCACAGTTTACGGATGTAAACTGTGTAATGTAAACTGTGATGAGCTTTGTATCTAGTCAAAAATAAAGCAAAAAGTCTCAAATTATGTTACTTTTATCACACAATTCAAACAGTAAATGCAGTTTTGAAAATCAAGGCTATGCGGTGTGACAGCAGAGGTGGGCAGAATATCCAAAAGCTGTACTAAAGTAAAAGGACTTATAGAAATAATTAAGTAATAATATTTATTGTTATTGGAGTAGGAGTAAAAAATGATGCAATGGCAAAATATTTTTAAAAATATAATATATTTAAAAATGACTCACATTTGATTGAGCAGGACCATATACCATTAAACCACGATAATTTCTGAAACTGCTTTTGTACTGTGAAAATCTCATACCACTGCAACCCTAAGAGGTACAAGTTTACAAGTCGGTTACCTGTAGAACTCTTGACATTTCCACACTTAAGTTCAGATTCAGGTGTAACTGCTGGCTTGTTCCTATTATCCATTTGGTTTTTGGTCTTCGTGTTTGGAAGAGATCCTTATAAAGCAATAAAGATATTACCAGATAGAACAGATTACTCTACATGGAGAGGATTATGCCAAACAAATATGTGATACTCTGTTTTTGTCAAGAAGTCAAACCTCTGTTTGAAGAAGCGGAAGTTGTCGATGTGGGATCTTGTCATTTTGCTGTATGACAAAACATCTCCACTTTCAATGCAGGGCTCTCTCTAATGCAGGATTCAGCTCCAAACCTCTGTGCTACCGAGCTGCAGGTGCTTGCTCGTGCTGTACGCTCAGACCCACTACACAATCAACAATTATTCATAAAAAAATGAGAAATTATTAATTCATTCAAACTTTAACAATAAAGTAATTTATTGCTCTCGATTTAAAACAAACATAATTAACATAAATAAACATAGCTTTAAAAAAAAAAACTAAACATATTGCTATTGTATAACAGAGCTCTCAAAGTTCTTCAAGATTCTTTATTCATGACATTCTTTCAGAAGGAAACTATTCCAGATTTGATTCACGAACATCATGGTACATTTTTAAATATGTTTATATAAAACTACACAACCATTTTTACTCACCATTTGGAATCGCAATCAACGTGGAGTGTCGTTCGTTCGTTAATGCTGCCACCGTTGCCTTTTATCGCAAACTGCCCCCTAGGGGGTCGGAGGAAAATGGCAAAGGCGGGAACAGGAAAATAGGGGCGGGGCGACACGTGTCGCTCCACCCAAAAGTGTCGCCCCACCCCATCGTCCAGAGTGCACTCTGGGGTTACTCGCCTTCTGAGAGACGGAGAACCGAGCGAAAAGACTACAACCAAATGTAAACAGACAACTTTCCTTTCATGGTTGCTAGCGCAGTAATATCAACGAGCACCGAGTCCTCCAGCAGACATCAATGCGATTTAAAACAATTAAAAATAAAACACGACAGAAACGGTATTTCGCTACGCTACTTGTTTCAGAACATCAACGAACACCACCAACCACTCGGTGAGTTGCACAGTTTTGAAAATGAACGTTAAGGGTTGTTTTAAGGACATTTTAAGGTTGTTTTGTGCATGCCCATAGACAGCCAGTCTAAAGCTGTCACAGGCGATTCTAATTAATTGTCAAAAAGTCGAGACAGGACCCATTGTCAAAATTTCTAAGTCCACCACTCTATTTCATTCAAAACAAACTACAAAATAGACTCAAGGTGTTAAATTATCCGGAATTATCCTTTAACAGGTTCAACAGCATTTAGAAGAAGATTTGACATGCACAGTCTAGTATTAGTAAGTCATTCTCAAAAAAATATTTCAGTCATGATAAGGATTTGAAATATTCAAGAAACCAATGACATTTTAATGATATGGTAAAATCTGAAAAAAAAAAAAAATTGGTGGCTAGCTACCAATTTATTTAAATTAATAAATATTTTTTCCCAGGTGAAGCATTGCTGAAAGTTTAAAGAAAAACAAAGCAAATTGCAGAGTTAATATTCAAACAAGAGCAAAAAATTATAATAATGCAAACAATTAAGAAAAAATGTCAATTTTTATGTCAATGTTAAAAACTAGTGTTTTTAAGGTACAAAAATGTTTAGGACTTTCAAAGTCAGAAAGTTATATTGTTCTATGGGGCCCATAAAGGGACATGGTGAAGGAACAAAAATATGAGATGGGAGGAAAAAGACTTGTCTATGTTTTTGGGTTCTCCCGAGAAACTTTGCATTCACTAACAAAAAAGAAAAAAAACAAAACAAAAAAACATCTTTGCAAGCAAACGCAATCCCATTTTTCTCCTATCTCATATTTTTTCCATTACCGTGTCCCTTTAGGGGCTCCATACTGTGGCTCCAAATGTGAAAAAGGTGATTTACCCATGATGTTGAAAATTATTAATATACATTTAAATGTTTTTTTTTTTCCCACTTGGTCCTGAATGTTATTAATGTAATGTATTTTATTAGAAAATGATTTAAGGAATGATTTAATGAATTCAAATTTGTATAATTTTTCACTGGCGTAACAATCCTTTAAAAAAAATAAACAAGGATTTCACAAATAAAATCGACTCAAATAAAATAAGTGAAACTTTACAAAAAGGTCTCATTTGTTAACATTAATTAATGCATTAACTAATATGAACTGACCGTGATCAATGTATTTTTACAACATTTATTAATCTTTGTAAATGTTAGTTAATAAGATGCTCACCATGCAATAACATATGTTAACAGATACAACATTCGATCTTAAAAAATGTACCGGTAAATGTTAAGATTAATAATAGCTAAGAATAATAAATGCTGTAGAAGTATTCTTTATTGTTAGTTCATTTAACTTATGAAACCTTGAACTAAAATAGTCCAGATTAGTAATGTCAACTGTATTTCATAACTTCAGTGTTTTTTGAGAATGACATTAGTACATTCATTTTCCTTAATAAAACATGATCTTTGCAGAAAAGCGTTATGTTAAAACAGATGTGCGATGCATGAGACATAACAGCACTCATACCTAAACCTACTGCATATCTGAACAGGAGAGAAGACGGAATCAATCAAAACAAAACGTCATGAATCTGTTATGCTACGATGTTTTTTAGCACATGAATGAAACCTAAGGTTAGAGAGAAAGAAAGTTAGTGAATGGATTTCACAATTGCACGGATGATCCTAGTAAAGGGATCGAAAAGATCATGCCTGACACGTCTTACTTTACGGAGGATGGTATTATAACTGTACAAAGAGCCGGTTCCAGCGTTTCCTGTTACAGAGGGAAGGAGGGAAAATAAGCAGGAAAACTAAAATAAAGTCCTAAAAACTAAAAATTATTTATGATTGTGAAATTTGACACAGACATCACAAATATTCCGCTGTGAGTGCCTCGTTTTGTTTTTAAATGTAACAATTTAACCAATTTTCTAGTTTTATATTAGTGGTGGGCATAGATTACATTTTTTAAATCTAGATTAATCTCACTGTAATCTTGGAAGTGATCTAGATTAATCTAGATTAAAATGGCTCATTTGAATTCTGCCGAAGGCATTCAGAATATGTATGCTACACAAATAAATAACTTTCCAGGTAGTTTGTAAGATGGGCAGGGGCGGAGCTAGACTCTCAGTACAATGGGGGCAGAGCTTCATCGTGAAGTCTTTTTAAAATTAAAACGTGGAAAAAATGTAATAATGTGTCACTTCTTGATGAAGTAAGCTTATGTTAAATATAACACAAAAACTATCTCATTCTTTTCCTTTTAATGCCCCCCATTTATATTTTCTCTCCATTTTCGCAATTATACTCTACAATATACATTCACACCTCACTGTACTCCTGAGGCAAGTAGCCCTGCCTTATATGCTGTGTTTCGGTTGATTTATGACTAAGACGAGCTTCAGTTCACGCGTCGGCGACTCTGTCGCGATTATCTATTGTCTGCAATATTTATTTCTTATTTATTAAATAATGAAACACTGATTAAAATTAAGGCACAATTAATACAAAACCAAATTCACCTTAATGAAAGGATTTGTGCTTTATGTTTGATGTTAAATTTTTAAAGCAGTCTTTCAGTGGCGCTTTCAGAGTGGTCAAGACCGTAACAGGAACTGTCACGTAACATTGTTTTTCCCTCATAAATGCGTACACGAAAAATAAGACAAAATTAATATTTTATGTTCTGTGGAGAGCCAACCCTTTTTCATCCGGTGGGTAGTTTTACTTTTTGTACTTTTGCCACCTAAAAGTATTTTTTTGTGTGTCACATCCGTTACGGATGTGTATTTCCCTCATATTAAATATAAATCGCATAGACTGATAATTTACTAATATCTGGATAAACAGATGTTTCAATATATTGGTATTAAATGCCACTTACAGTGCAATTCGGCTAGGTAGGCCTATACATCTGCGCTAAAATATCAAGGTGAAAGTCATCATAGCTTGCGTAGTATAGACCCAGCTCCCAACCCAACTTTGAGAATAGATTAATTGAGATATTTTTTTATCGCCCTATAAGAGTCTCACGTTAACGCAGCACGATAACGAACCACCACTATTTTATACGAATGTCCGTTAAAAGCAAGAGCAGGAGAATTTTGATGGATGAGTGACACAGTCCTATAATAAGCACTGTGTGAATCATGTCTTACCTGGTGGAGAAGGAGGAGAGGAAGACAGAGGGATGGAGGATCTGACAGCTAGTGGTCGGGTGTGTGGGGGAGGTCTGAGGGACGCTAGGTCTGGATGAACTGACTGCAAGTTTATGTGAGAAAACACAAACACACGCTAAATCTCAGCTATGCAAGACAGCACTATAGCAAAAACAGGGTGGGATTGCTATGAACTAAAGCATGGGGGACAGGATCAATTTGGTCATTTAAAAATACATGCATACTGAAATCTAAACCCTTTTTAAAATTAAATGTGTTGCTGTACAGTAGGTGACGCGGTTCTTACCCACAGTGCCGTGCAGGAGATTGGGAAATTTGGACAGATCAGGCTCATCCTCCTCGAGGTCGTTGAGGCTGTAGACATGCTGAAAATCCCCATCCAGCTCTCTGAAGTCTTTGGTGAGGACACCGGGCCGTGGGAGCAGGATACCCCCCAGATTGGGCTTGGCCAGCTGCTGCCACTGGTGCAGAGTCACTGAGCCTGTGGGCAGTGGAAAGATTAAGAAAATGGAAAAAAAAGTAAGAAAATTTCAAATTAAAAACCTCTCTGAAGACTTTGCAGAACATTTGTTATAATGGCACTAAACGATCACTAAACTTTTGCCATTTGCAATTCACTCTGCTAGTATTATACATTTATTAGTAGAAATTCTTCATTTTATATTTTAAAAATAGAATATAATCGCCTAATATTTTAAAGCCAGACAAATATTTTTCCATTCTCGCTTTTCTTTTTTTTTTTTTTCATACTTATCTAGATCTGGAAATTGCTCGAATCAAATTACATACTTTTCAAAAACTGGGAAAGAACTCTGTATTTTAATAAAGAAGATGCTTATAAGTTTCACTGCTTAATAATATTTGAAAATCTACCTCATCAAAATCATGTGGGGCAACCAACATGCAGAAACATGATGGGGAAAAACATCAAACTGGAAATTATATTAAACAGAGGATCCCTGCATCAAATGATATCATACAGAGGATCCCTGTGTTTGAGTCAATAAATCTTATTTTAAGAATCCCCTAATTTGATAATGGCAAGATTAATTTTGGTTGTATAATTGTGCAACTCCTCAAAAATGTAAAGATATATATATATATGCGTTTTTTTATTTTATTTTTTATTTTTTTAAAGTACAATGAACTGAAGAAATTCAGCTGAACAACAGCCGAAATGCCTAATTTTTCCTGTTTATCACTGTAAAGCTGCTTTGAAACCATCTGTACTGTATAAATATACCTGTAAATAAAGGTGACTTGACTTTTTGGCTTTCCAAACCACAAAATCAGGGGTTGATCTAAATGTTTAGCTTTCGTGACTACTTGTGTGCGTATCTACTGACCCTCCAGCGGCTTGACTATCTGCAGCCGTTCGGGCAGGTACGAGCGGGAGGAGCCTGTGCCTGACGAATGCGTGGAGGTGCCAGAGTAGTTAGTTCCTGTGGATGCAACGCTGCCATTGGGCGTCAGGAAGCCGCTGGACCCGCCGCCACTGCCGCTGCTTCCACTCTGCAGGGCGCGCAGTTTCCTTTCTCGCTCCACCTCGAAGAACGGACGCTCTGACGTGTGGCTCTCCTGGCGCTCTGAGAGAGACCGTAGCGCTTCCTCTAAATCCTGCCCACCGGGCGTACCTGGCTGGCCCAAACGCTTCAACTCCAGCAACCTATGCATGAAATAAGTTCGAATTCATTAATAATTGGTTCATTCTTAAAAGTGAATTTTTGTGAAAAATTTAAGAGAAACTAATTGTAGCAGACACTGACCCATGATCCTGAGTGTGTGTTGGAGACGAGTGCTTATCCTCCAGGTTGACGCTAACATTGTCTGATTCATAATAACTGGTCCGTGGTGTACTGACTCGACTAGAGCGCAATGATGCAGGGCTCGAACCCGCAACCTGGGGAGAGAGATTCTGGGAACGTAGCCGAGCCGCATGATTGACCACTTTCACCGTCTCAAACACCCGCAATGGATGATTCCTGCACAGCAAATTCAAGAGAATCTCATCATATTGTTTCAGTCCATGGTTATTTTACAACATATATATATATACATCATGTACACTACACATTAGGCACTGAATAAACAGAATTTGTTTTTGTTTCCCAAAAAATATATCTACACGTTAAAACAAAAATATGTATTATTTGAGATGCAAAATGATCTGAGATAATAAATAAAGCATATAGATAATAATAAAGCAACCTTTTTTAAGATTTATGCTAAGATTTGAAAATAGTGGAATGAGTGGAATCAATAAAATGTAATAAAACTATTAAAAATGCTCTCCTGATCAAAAGTTTGTTTTTTTTTAATCTTACGTTTTTTTAAATCTTTAATCTCTTTTTTAATCTTATTTAATCTTTTAATCAGCCTTGCTCACCGAGACTGCATTATTTGAAAAAAGATACAGTGAAACAATAATATTGTGAAATATTATTAAGCTTTAAATGAACGTTTTCTATTTTAATTTGATGTATTATATAACACACATACTGAATATTATATAAACACAAACTTTAATGTTAGATGCAATTAAACGTGATTAATCAATTCGACAGCACTAATTTTAATACATTTTAAAACACACTTTTTAAAATGTAAAAGAAAATTAATATTTCTTATTATCAATGTTGAAAAGAGTTGTGCTGAGAAATATTTATGTTACATTACATTATTATTTTTAAACCGTGATAGATTATTTTCTATTTGAAAAGCGAGTTAAAAAGATTTTTTGGAACATTATAATTCTCTACTGTCCCTTTTGATCAACAACAACATTGCATATTCTTCTGAAAGTCTTACACACTTAATATTTTATTAATATTTATAAAATTATGTCTTGTTTAACAGATATTTAGATATTAAAAACGAATCAAAACCGCTGATTTTCAATATATGAACAGCTGTTACATGTACTCAGGTGACTAACTTGTACTCAGTGGGTGCTGGGCTGTCTAGGCCCTTCCGGAAGGTTCCTTCAATCTCAGCAGCAAGTGAATCCATTGGGAAAACCGCTGCCAGGGTGCTATAGCGCTGCACAGTGCTGTTGGGCAGACTCTTATTGCGCAGGTTTTTAATGTCCTCTCTGGCTTCATGGAGCATGTCCTCACTTTCCGAGTACCTCTCCTGAAGTTCCTTCAGCTGCCACCAGAGGGAGACAGAACATAATAAATCGACCAGAACATAATAAAGCCACTTCTTGAAAACAATAAAAGGGAGTAGAATGCTGTGTGAACACAGTGATATTGATATTGTGAGAATTATACCTCTGTTTTAAGCTGCGCCTGGGATTCCCGGGAGGCATTCAGATGTTGCGTTAACTCCTCATTCTCAGCAGTGAGCTGAATTTGGAAGCAAATTTGATTTATTTATATAAATGTATTCTCTAACTGGTGTTAAAGATTAAATAGAGTTTGCGTGTCTAACCCCTTTGCAGCGCTGCTCCAGGTCGACAATCTGTCCCAGCAGGGCACTAATCTCCTCTTGTTGTCTTAGCGAATCTTCCACCTTCCGGGCCAACTCATCTGACAGAGATACGGCCCGCTTATTCGCTGACGCTGGTGAGAGAGGGAAGAAGAGGAAACTTTAGTTTTTAGTTAACTTACTTGAGATATCGAACGATGAGATGGTCATTGTGGGTAATTTACTCACTGAGTTCGTCCACACACACCATCATAAGCCGTTGCTCTTGTTCTTCGTAACTGTTGGTCTCAAATGTTAACTCATTAGCCTAAAAGAAAGTGTAACAGGTGTGAAAACATGTTTCTAACTGTAGCACAACTTTGATATTTTTTGGTGAATGTATGTACGGTAATACGTGTTAGAACACACCTCTGTGCGCAATTTGAAGTTCTCCTCTTCCAAACCCTTGAGTTTCTGTTGCAGAAAGTCGTAATTGACGTAATTGCTGAGAGATGTAGACGAATCATTCCGTATAAGCCTGAAGGAGGACACACTTATCAGAATAAAGTCATTGAGCACTCTGTCTCTGTGTGTGTCTGTGTGTGTTTGACTCACAGTGTTTCTGAGGCATGCTCTATATCTTCAGTGCTGGCATAAAAGTGCAGGAGATCGTCTCTCATGGAGAGCTCATGACGCAGCTGAGAAATCTGTAAGAACAGACCCAGAATCAGTGTTAAATTCCATGTACCACAAAACACTAAGTGCATTGTATCTATTATATTATTCCTAAATTAGGAAGTACACTGCTTTTAAACTATATATATATATATATATATATTAAAATGCTGCTTTAGACAAAATAATACTTACTGGTATACAACTGTTTAAAGGACCATTTTATATTTTCATTCAAAAATTTACATATTATCAGTATTTGTGTAGTACACTGCTTCTAAACTATATATATATATATAGTTTAAATATAAATTAAAATGCTTCTTTAGACAAAATAATACTAATACCTGTTTAAAAAAACATTTTCATTAAAAAATATTATCAGTATTTGTGCACTCTCACTTCATTTAAAACCTGATTGTATATATTCTTTCATTTGACCAAACTATTTTATTTTTTTTTGAAAATTTTTGAACACAACTCTTGCCAGACCTGTAAAGTTCTTAAAAAGACCAAAAAAACACCATAAATGTGTCATAAAAAGATGATGATCAGCAAATTATATATAGTCACACTATATTATGCTTGGCACACATATGTACAGAAAGAGGAGTAAATGCAATACAATCATTTACAGTTGAAAGTGAAAGTTGAAGCTGGGTTAAAATGAAATTACACTTTTAACCCAACATTTGGGTTTGTCCATATTTGACCCAAATTTGGGTTCAAACAACCCAGCATTGTTTAGAGTGCACAAGCTTACATATTTGGGGGCAATGGGAAAGAAATGAAAGATTTAAATGTACGTATGCAATATGCCTTTAAAACAAGTTGAAAAATACAATATTTTAGCAATAATAACCTCTTCCTGGGCAATTTCCAGCTGTTCGTCCAGTAGTTTGTTGCGTTCAGTCAAGGCTTTATTCTGCTTGAGCAGCGATTGGCCAATCCGGGCTGCCAATTCCAGATCCCGCTCTTTCTGCGGATGAAGACAAGCATGTGCGGGACTTTATTATATCATCACGGAAATACTGCAATTGTGACTATTGTGACTGTGAAGCAAACCTCTCACCTCCTCAAGCAGATGTGTAACTGCCTCAATGTCATGATACGTCTTTGTGATTTGACCAACTCTCTCTGAACACAGCACTGCAGAGGAAAAAAAGATATTGAGAGAGTATGAATGTGAGAAAGACACATAGGGTTGGCTGATGTGCTCATGATAATTGACCAGAAACAATGTAATAAAGATGATAGATTTCAGAATAATGTCACTACAGTATGTGTGTCAGAAAACACCTCAAATGGATGTTCAAATGGATTAAACACTGCTTATAAATGTGTGATCTATGTGGAACTGTCAATGTGACCCAACCTCGACGGGACAGGTAACAGAGACGTCTAAGCAGTCAAGAACAAGAGCCTCTTAGCCTGATCCTCATTAAGGATTCATTCTCGTTTTCATCTCTACTTATAAATCTACTGATCAGGCCTGCGTTACAAACATCTTTCCAGACCACTGGTTCCCCACTAGGCATACCTTTTCAAAGGATTTTCATTTTTCTTTTATGAAATCTTAAAATATAATATAATTAATAAAATATAAATGAAAAATATAAAATATCTTACAGATTTTTTTAATGTAAAACACAATGAACATTTCAAATATAATTCTTTATAAATACATATATAAATATAACAAATATTGTAATATTATTAAAATATACATATTAGATATTTATTTAATATTACAATCTAATATTTTTATTGTTGTTTTTTAAAGGAAAGTAAACCAGCAAGATTTATATATTTGCTAAAAGATATTCATTATAAAATGAGTTATAAGGAACACAAATAGCCAGTTTCCATCCAAATTGCTCAAAACTGGAATATCGCATAACACATTTGCAGATGGTTTTCATCACATGTGTTGAAGAGAACAAAATCGTCACTTCCTGGGACATTGGTGCAAAATATCTGTAATAAAAATGGAAGTGGCTGCAATCAGGAAGCCACTGTTTTGTTTTGTTTTTGTTTTTTTTTTTGTTTTTTTCCACAAATGTTGTGCATCTTTGCATATCCATACTTCGTTTTTTTTTTTAATCTGATTAAAAAAAATGCACAAAAAAAAAATAGTTGATGGAAACATAGCTAATTGTACTTGATGTAACTGTCAGTATACGTGTCCAAAAAACACTTCCCCACATGAGTCACATTCCCTGGACACAGATCCAAGGCAGGATTTTTGGGTGCTGCTCTTAAATATAGACACTGCTTACTTTTATTTATTTATTTTTTAAATAATAAATCCAACCATAAGTGCAATATATTCTGCTGTTTTCTTTCAGACAGGTATTTTCATTTGGTTGGGTCTTGTTTTTCCTTGAGGCATAATCAAATTTCAACTGGAATGAGACGTGTTTGACTTTGCTAAAATAAGAGCTTGGCAGCGCTTCCCAACTCTGCAAACGAAGACTTGGCTCAGAAGAGTCCACATTAATAAAGCTTTAACCTTCTACACCAGGGACAGTGAAAAGCACTGCAGAAACTGTGTGATAGCAAGTCAAATAACAAAGATCTGCTGTGGCTTGCAGCAGATAGTGTTGCAGACAACAGGGAAAACAATGCTAAATGTAAATAATTATATGCAATTGACCACATCAATGAACAGAGTTTGGAAAGCAAATCAAATAGCCCAAAAAACCCTTGAAAAATCTTTTGTTTTTGACTATGCATCTAATGAAAGTCTAGTGTTTTGAATTATTAAATAAATGAAAATACAACTTTGACGTAATTAAATATGTGGTTACTTGGAATGACAATAATCAAGATTTGTGCAATCACAATGTGTTTTGGATGGGAATAGCATGAAACCACTGAAAGTCAAGACATTTAGAAACTTAAACTAACTATTTTTGTTCATGCGATGACCAATTTTCGTATTGTTTCAGAAGCAGTTCAGCGCAAGAGCGAATGTAATGATTATTGTCAGCATGTGTCCTTTCATTCAGTCCTCCACAAGCTCTGGCCAGTGACGGAGCCGCTGCTAAATCTGCTCACCTGGCCTAAAAAGAGGTTCAGGTCTGCTGTGATTTACGTCAATGACAGAATTAAGAACATTAAGGACAGTAAGACAGTAGTCTGTACTATGTGACACTGAACTGAGCTTCTGTGGGCAGGATAAAGTGAATGGACAGATTAAAGTGATTTAGCCCTTGTGAAATGACAGCAATGGACCCTACACCCTTCAAAGTATAAATCAGGAAATTGTGATTAAATGTTTTGCTATGATAAAACACAGACTTATTTACAGACTTCAGAGTTCTGTAAATGGGATGTACAATTTTAGCACAATACATACAAATATAGACCTCAAATGTCTTTAAAACACACTTTTAAAAAAGTTGGTAGCACACATTAAACAATTATCTGCAAGCCAATTTATCCATCTACACTTATAGTGTAGAGATGCTTATCAACGAGGTCAAAACTCCATAACCTTGTCCATCACTATGAAAAACGAGGCAATATCACACAAGGACAAAGACACTGTAACCACATATTTGAGGTGAAACAACACTGACATCTTCAGAGAAGCGCAAACCAATTCTTCTGCAGATGATAATGAGGATTTATTGACATGCTGCGCATGCTGATCAATACCATCTTTAGCAAATAAAGACCTTCACGATTCACATGGTGATGATGACTGCTGTCTCCCACTATTTGTCTCTTTATCATTCTCTGTTACCTTGTACCAGCTCCCTGCACAGTCCCTCAGTGTCGGGTTCCTCTTCGTCCTCTGGTTCTTCATCGTCTTCATCGTGGCTTGTGCTGCTGTCTCTCTCGCTCTCATCCATTCCCGAACTGCTCCACACCTCAATTTCTGCACTCATCCTTTGATATGATCTGTCTCCTCTGCAATGCGGTATGTCTCTCTCGCTCTCTCTCTCTCTCTCACCACAGTCTGTGCCAGGCTGATTTAAGACACGTTAAACAATCCGTCTGTGTTTCTTGCGACTGCGAGTCACCACGGCTGTCCCCTAGGCTTTCACTGATGCACCTCTACGCATGCTGATGTTGTTATTGAATCTGCTGTGAGTGTGTGTCCCTGCAGCTCATGCCTGATGGCAGCTCAGACTCACCTGGCTGCTCTGAGAACAGGAGGACACCAACTCTGAGAGGAGGGGTGGACGGCTGGTGGAAACTTAGAGGAGTACATGAAAGACCAGAGGATTTGTGCATGTTTTTGCAGGCATTTGGAGTCTTGGAGTATTGCATCATGTTTATTTGTGAGAGATTTTTGCAGATTTGATTTGAAACAGCTTGTGTTATCGCACAGATGGAACACCCTCCCCTGTTCGAACACAATATGGTACCTTCCAGATTAATGCCATAATACTGCAGCACAACAGACGGACATTCCCACACTCGCAGGATACATCAGTGCTGTTATTTTTAACTAAAAGAAAAACTATTCAAAATATTGAGTTTTTGGTAAGTGAAATAAAGCTGAAATAAAATAAAATAAAAATATTAAATGAAAAACCTTAAAACAAAAATTAGAAATGTTGCCTTCACAATAAAGTGTTCCAGACTTGCTCCAAATCTGTAAGAGTTTCATTCTTATGTTGACACAAAAGACGATATTTTGAAGAATTTTGGTAACCAGACAGTTGACCATATAGCCATTGATTTCCATAGCAGGACAAAAAATACAATGGAAGCTAATGGGGTGTATCAACTGGTTACCAACATTCATCAAAATATCTTATTTGTGTGTTCAGCAGAAGAAATAAATTTAAAAAGATTTGGATCAACATGAGGGTGAGCATTTTTGGGTGAACAATCCCTTTAAGCTCTGTAGAAATATTTTAAAATAATAATAAAAAATAACAAAAGCACATACAAATTAAAACTAAAAATACACAAATAAAAAGGTTTAAATATAAAAAGGTTTAAATATAAAAATTAAAAATATGAATAAACACAATATACGGTAATAGTATATAAATAATTATAATAAAATGACATAGACAAATGATTTTTAGTCTATGAGTCCAAAACCTCCATTTATGATTAAAGCTGTCAATCCCTCCACCCCAAAATTCATACCTAGGTACCACTGTTGAATGCCGAATGACAGTGGCGATGTGAAAACATGGTATCGAACACTGTATATCTTTTACTCTTTTTTCTTCAGACATGATGCTAAAATAATCTGGGCCAAAAGGGCTCTATCAAATATTAAACTACACCAGAGTACATTTTTCATTTTGGTCAGGTCACACCATCATCACCACATGGCATGATGCACTTAAAATCTGACCCAGAAAACACTGAGAGTGAGAGTTCAAAAAGACAACACTTTGAGGAAACTTTACCAAGATCACCACAGTGGGAAGAAATAACCATTTCCTATTTGTGCTACAGTATACCACAAGTTCATTTATAATTAATCAACCTGGTGCAACTAAACACGCAATAGTTTCCAGACCCGGCAAAGCCAAAAAGATTCTAATTTAAGTAATTTGGTCTACAACCGAATCAATTTTGCTTAGGGTGATGATGGCAAAAATAAAAAATAAATGAAAAATAAATAATTACTTCCTAGGTCAAATCTTATCAGATGTTAGTGAAACAAACTTGATAACACAAATATACATTTTCTAATTTTACATCACATTTGTCTGAGGCTAGATGCCTTTCTAGCTCAGAATGAAACGCAGGTGTCTAAGGTTACTAATTTATGCCAAGCCAATAATTTACAATCCCATAAATATCCGTATTCTGCCTTCAGTGAAATGATAACCATAGCAAATAAAAATACAAAATGGCAAATACAGTGAAACAAGAAAGAAAATCGAACATCTCTAATAGAATACAGGCTTAAAGTGAACGTGTTAAGATAATTAGGCTAGAAATAACAGCTGTGTTTGGGCTGCAGCCCACGTGAAGAGATCAGTACACTGCAGGCAGGTATGAGAACACATTTCCATGCCAAACGGATTAGAGCTAAATTAGCAGCAAGTCCATCAGAGCAATCTGTTTCCTTTTCCATCATTTTAAATCGGTAAAATAAACATTCAATGTAAAAAATAAAATAAAATTGCTGCCTTCCATTTTTAAGTACAATCGACTTAAATGTTTAAGTCATTTCAACTTACATTAAACTGACTTAAAAAAATAGTTGCATCTTGTATTTTGATTAGTTAAAGCAATGTGAAAACATATGTAACCGTATCGATCATATAATTTTATACAGTGTACAGTTCAAAACTTTGGGGTTGGTCAGATTTAGACTTCTCTGCTCGTCAAGGGCCGACTATTTATTTGATCAAAAATTTAGGAAAAATTTTGTTAAATATTATTTGTATTTAAAATAACTTTTTCCTATTTTAATATGTTTTAAAATCCCTTTCAATGGATCTCCAGCTGCGTTTGAGACGCGGTGGGAAGCCCATACCAACTATGCCATAGTGATCAATGCCCGTTCTGTGTGAAGTCCTTGCGCACACTAAGAAGCAAGCAACCTAGCCCCAGGAGAGGAGAGGTCTAGGTTATAAAACCTGACAAATGTGTGCAGAGAGGAACATCCTGTTGCATTACAAATGTCAAGAAGGGAAACACCCGAAATTAAAGCCATAGAGGCCACCATACTCCTCGTAGAATGGGCCCGCACAGCCATAGGTGAAGGCTGTCCGGCCGCTTCATAAGCCAATGAGATAGCCTCAATTATTCATTTGCTCATTACCTGTTTAGATGCAGGGCACCCTCTCTTGAGTGACCCAAATCAGACAAATAACTGCTCAGACTTACGCCACTGGGCAGCTCTGTGAACGTAGGCATCCAATGCCCGAAGTGGACATAACAGATTAAGTTGTTCCTGATCTGGGGTATTAAAAGGTGGAGGACAGAAGGCCTGCAACACTAATGGGCCCCCAACATTAGCTGGGACATTAGGAATATAACCCGGTCTCGGGTAAAGAAATGCTTTCACCATACCAGGTGCAAATTCCAGGCATGAAGAAATTTTTCTGAAATCTCTTCAATGGGCTCAAAGGGAGCCAAAGCCAGACCCTCAAGTACAATGGCCAAATCCCAAGTCGGTGCTCTAGAGTGCAGTGCGAGCGAACGCTGGACAAATATTGATCCTCGTCCTGCCTTTTATTTGGTCAATCTCCCTTTTTCTCTTTCTACTGTCCTCCAACAAAACCTTCAGCAAGTTCTCATCCCAAGGTGTCATATACTGACACTTTTGACAATGTGTTTACATCCAATGCACATGGCACCCTTTAGCATCAATATGATACTAGTGGTCTAACCCTAACCCATAACCAAAGAGTGTTATATTCATGCTAAAGGGTGTCATGTGCTTTGGATGTATACGCATTGTAAAAAGCATCAGTATATGACGCCTTGGGATGAGAATGCATTGAAAAAAGTCTTGTTGGGCTCGCACGTTAGAATTTGAGGAAAAATATTATAAAGTTTGAAAAAGTTACATAGCGCTGCTTTAATGCAATTTTATTTGTCTACCTCACAATACATAATGTTTCTTTTGTAACACTATAATGTCTTTACTGTCACTTTTCATAAATTGAGCGTGGCCTTGCTAAATAAAAGTATCAATTTCTTTATAACGTATTCATTTCATAAATTAAAAAAAAACTGACCCCAAACTTTAGAACAGTAGTGTATATCTGAGTCCAGCAGGTATTTGTTGTCATTCACAGATAATTTTGTGACGCTAAAAAAAAATTTAATAAATGCACTTTATATCACAACCATGAAACAAACTAATTTTTTTTTCAATCCCGTTAAATCTCAAAGAACGCCTGTCTGAGAATCCAAAATGTTAGTTTAGCGAATCTGAGCAGCAGATAGAAACTGCAGTGCTGGTGTAACTTCAGAGCGCCTGACAGTTTGCCAGGTCGTAGAGAGAGAAGTCCCTGAGAACAGCAGAATGTCTCATTATCCTTAAGTAGTAAGGAGCTAATCCTCTTGATGGCATTTGCATCTGTGCTCCAAGAGGAAGGGATGTGGCTGGGATTACAGTATTGCTTTGGCAGGGTCAACAGTGGCACTAGAGCCTGTAATTGGTACAGTAAGCTGACGTACAGCCATACATTTTAATACATCATTTAAGATATTATAACAACATGTTGTTTCCCAAATAAAATAACTATCTTTCATTTGTCATTGCAGTACAGCCAAAATGCATGACTTAAATCATCAATTGTGGTGACATACATGAGGTGAGTAAATGATGATGACATTTTATTTTTGGGAGAACTATTTCTTATTCCCTGTTTTCTTTTCACCCCCAAGTTTTCTTAAAAACTTTATAAGTGGTTGGATTTACCAAAAATGGAAATGAAGTAGGCAGTGCCAAAGTACGCAAGTTGCAAAGGGAAAACAATAGAAAAAAAACAATAGAAACCATTACAGAATTCCTAATGGTTTTAATGGTTATAAAGGGAAATGTATTGGTTTTAATGGAAACTGAAATGGTCCTAGTAGGTCTCTATTGGTAATTTGCTTTCTTCTATTGGTGGCATGTTTTGTCTTTTTTAAATTGAAACTGTGATGGTCCTAGTAAGTCTCTATTGGTAATTTGCTCTCTTCTATTGGTGGTATTTGTTTTCAATTGGATACCATTAAGGACCAATAGAACACCTTTGAAAATTATAGGTTACATGTTGGTATCTACTGGACACCATTATGAACCATTAGGACTCCAATAAATTTAGTGTTTCCTTTGGTTTGATAATAATGATTTAATGTAGGCTACACATGATTAAGAGGCTAGATACAGTTTTTAAAAACTGGTCATAGCCATTGGTCAAAACATTGGTCCCATGTGATTTCAGGTTTAACAGCTCCTGTCGGGAGTGATCAGATCAAAACCTGACCCACACACATAGGTTGTCCTAACCATTAAATATATTCAAATCATGACCAATACAAATTTGTAATGGAAACCATTAAATATGTTCAAATCATGACCAATACAAATTTGTAATGGAAACCATTAAATATGTTCAAATCATGACCAATACAAATTTGTAATGGAAACCATTAAATATGCTCAAATCATGACCAATACATGTTTGTAATGGAAACCATTACAAATCAGAACCAATACAAACTGTAATGGAAACCATTAATATCATTACCAATACAAATTTGTAATGGAAACCTATACAAACTAATACATCCTAATAGAATATGGCCCAAAACACACTACGTAATGGACACCATTTTGTAATGGTTTTAATGGTTAACGAATGATGGTTTGTACCATTTCTGTAATGGTTTCTATTGTTTTTTTCAGCAGGGCCGAACCACCAGAATTTTGAATGATAATGAAAACATGATGCTACATTCCATTCCTATCCTTTAAAGCAGGACGCTGATGCCCTTCCTAGTACATAACATCAAAATCAGTCAAATCATGTACTGTAACACGACTTTTGTAATATAGTCTCCGGCCAGACATGTGCAATACTAAAAAAAAGTCAAGTTAAAAGCATATTGAGCGGTGAAAGAAATGCTGTTCCGTAGGTGCAACACACAGAGAAGTATAGGCTTCGTTGGGCTTTGGGTGTTTGCTTAAATGTATATCAAAATGCCTGTCTTGGAGAGTTTTCACTTTAAAAAAGCCAGTTTTGTCTTGGCCGGTAAACAACAAAAGAAAATGAGAGGATCATTCACTGCTCTTCACTGAATAACTTTAATAAAAAATAAATGTACATTTAATTTAGAATAGCCAATATAAGACTATGCAGATGGCACTGCACTGGCAGTTGGCTATATTATGGGAGAAAGGTGTGGACTCACAGAAGTACTTGAGTGTCTCATCGATCTGCTCATGTGTAAGTCCAAGAGCGGCCTCTGGTGGCAGGAGAGGTGTGTGCAGCCAGTCGTCATGCTCATACCCATAAACATGGTCTGCCCGCAGAGTGTATTTGGGCAATTCTTCTGTAAGCAAGCTGACGATCTCCACCTCTGGCAGATCCACACTGGAACACAGATCTGTGAGATGAACAGAAAGACAACCATTTACTTTCACAAATCTTAATAAGTTTATCTGAAAATATCGAATTCGTTATTTAAGGTAAATGTACGTTACATCATTTAGAAGATTGTATTCGTTGATGGAAAGAAAAAAATTGGCTACAGATTGCGAAATTTCATTAAAATTACAGTGCAGATATGAAAACATCTGAGCTGCAACAGAGGCCAAAACAACTCTCTTCAAGTCAAAAAAGAGCAAGAGTTATATATTATTAGTCAATCAAAAATATTAGGTGTACATTACTGATACCGGCTTACATGTGACATATGAAACATATGACTGAGGTGTTTCAATCAAGAAGCTGATTTAAAAATCATATTTGAGTGTTAATAGCTATCATAAATCTACAGCAAACACTCTTGAGCTTTCAGAATAGTCCATAATTAGAAAGCAGCACACATAGGTACTTCCTTAGCCACTATGGTTGGTTTGTACCACCTTTCCTCCTTTTGTCGGCATTTTTCCTGCCTTTGTCTGATTTGATGCTCAAGATTTCTTATCATTAGCAACATTGAAAACGTTGTGCTGCTTAATTTTCTTTTTTTCCATGATTCTTTAATGTAAAGAAAGTTCGAAAGAACAGCATTTGTTTGAAATAGAAATGTTTCGTAACATTATAAATAGCTTTACTATCACTTTTGATCAATTTCATGGGTCCTTGCTGAATAAAAGTATTGTTCCCCAAACACTTAAAGGGATACTATACTTTTTTTTTGCAATAGGCTCATTTTACAACTCCCCCAATGTTAAACAGTTGAGTTTTACCGTTTTCGAATTCATTCAATTCAAGAATATCAGTAACCAGACAGTTTCTGGTCTCATTGACTACCATAGTATATATTTTTTCATACTATGTATGGAAGTCAATGAGACCTGAAATCTTGTTACTGATATTCTTCTAAATATCAGAAAATCGGCTGAATGGATTCGAAAACGGTAACTGTTTAACTCTGGGGGAGTTGTAAAATGAGCCTATTTTAAAAAACAGTGGAGTATCCCTTTAAATGGTAGTGTATCTGCTAAACGTAGACTAGCATATCGTTGGCACTACAGCAAACAGATGCAACCTGAAAACAATCGCACACCAACAAAACCCCTTCCTGTACCTGTGAGAGTTGAGACATCATGGAAGCCTTGTGCTGGCAGTGGATCCTCCCTCAAGTTCCCAGGAGTGAGGCCGATCTCCTGGGTGAGGGTCTCGCATCCCTCTCCCTGCTCTCCATGGAGGGCGAGGGGCCCTGTGGGCTCCAGTGAGGGCTGAGGGGGGCGCGCAGGAGGTGAACAGTGAGACAGTGTGACAGACCTGCTGGAGTTCAGGGTGCTTGAGGTCTTTAACAGACTGTTGTGCTGCCTCTCCTGGATCAGAGAATGGGTGTGGAAGCACACGTCCTCATGTAACCTGGTGGAGACAGACAGAAAGAGAGATAAAGTACAGTACACTGATATTAACAAACTGATTATAAGAAAAGAGTGTATTAAAGACTCCTATATCATTATCTAGTTGAATGAAAAAGGCGTATGAAAACAATGTGCTCAGGGCACAGATCATGTTCATTGAAAGCAGGCCATTGATTGTATTGTGCTACTGATGTGAAACTTGATAGGCCCTCACGTCACCACAGCAGTGTTACTTTCAGCTCGATATATTCCAGTGAAAATGTCTATCAGATCCAATATCAAATGACATGACACTTCTAAATAATTCAGCTGGTGGCATATAAAGTCATTCGTGACTTTTTTGAGTCGTGATATTCTCAAACAAATACCCTGTGGTGAGAATATATTACATGTTTAATCAGGAATTTTAGTAGAGGATGTGTTATGACAATGCTAAAATATGATTGAACCAATACCATTGCTCCAACAGTGTTGAAGGGGTCATGAACTGGCTTTTAAAAAAAATGTATATTGTTGTCTGAGGTTCGCTTGGTTTTTACAATAAAAAACATCACAATGAATCAGTAATTGGCTATTTTCTACCCTAGTTTTGATCCTAGCTCAAAAAGGCTCAGTTTTTATGGGCGTCTCGCACTGAAGACTTGGAAGTAAACACCCAAAGCTGTGAGTGGATTACAGTTTTGCATATTATAATGAATTTCAACTCACTCACGTATACAGCGACTGTCTTCTTCTACAACCAGTCACTGCACAATATTTTGTATTGCTCGGTAGCTCGATCTGGTTTGTCATCACGAGGTAGGCATCTATGTTATTTATATATGCGTGTAATGCGCGAATCGGTGGGCGGGGCTAAACCGGCCGTGTTGAAGTAGGCGTTGATCGTCTTCTGCGGGGGTGGTGCTTTATCCTCTTTGACGTCATAGTTCCCCACTTTGAAAAACAATTCGTCGTTTGCTGAGGCTGGTGTCAATAAAAGCTTTTATTGGACTAACAAGGATGTTTTCAGTTCTGAAACTTACAGGATATTCTTATAATATGATGATGACCTCTTAGGAAGCTCAAGGAAAATGTAATTTCTCAGTTCATCACCCCTTTAAAGGGTAACTAAACCCCTGGTCAGAGCCTGACTCCACCCACTGGCAATATTTGAAAAATGCTGGAAAAGTGGGCAGAGCCCAGCGGAGGGGGGCGTGCACCTGAGACGCATCTCTTTGAAACTTGCCTATGTCACCAACAACCGCTGTGTCACGTACCACCGCAAACATCCAATAGGAAAATTCAACTGCAGTAGCCACTGTTCAACCTGAAGAGGGCAGCACTAAGACGTTTTTACACCATATATTGTAGAAATAGAACACTTTATAAACAAATGCCAAAAAAGTTACTCGAATCAATGACTGGTATTAATAATAAAGATCCATTCTTACAGATCATTAACTAAAAAAAGTTGGTTAAGTGTTTAAGTGTTGACTCTTTAAGCTCTGCCTTCTTTGTTACTGTTTTATCCAATAGGAATGGAGGAATGAATTGGGGATATTTATGAATGGTGCACAGATTTTAAGCAAAATGTACTCAAAATTGGATATTAAGTGTGATTTTTTTATAATTTTTTTTATTGTGCAATAAGCCAAGCATTTGTATCTACCACTTTTCTGCAAAGAAATTAAGTAATACAAAAAATCGCCGTGATCCTTTGGATCAACAATTATAATATCGCTTATAAGCTCTCTAGCAATCTTGTGTCAACATTATAAATGCCTTTTTGTTTTTGTATAATTTGTATAATTTATGTAAATTCACAATAAAAATGTCCAAATACATAGACTTGCAATAAAAAAGCAAAACTTGTCTAAAAATATGGCTACAATTGCTATGGTAGGATTGGTCAGTAATGGTTTAAGGCAGGGCTTAGTGTAAATTCAAAAAAATTAATTTTAAAAATTTAATTTTAGTACTTCCAGTTCTATCATCCAGAAGTCAATGGGTTTTTTAATGTGTTTTAGGTTAAATGCCTGTAATAAGGTCTGTGGTTAACACCAGCTCAAGATATCATATTTTCACATTTTATTCTACGATACAAAATACATCATCCCCTGTAGCCTGTTGCTAACAAGTGGTTAAATGGGTAAATAGATAAACTCAACTATCGCCAGTTCATTTTCACAGCCTTGTTGTTAGAATTGCACTAACTAATTCCAAACTATTCTAACTCAAACTTTCAGAGAAAATATTCACCATGGTGTAGTTTGTTTATAGTCCACATTTAGCTTTTTACTTCTGCCAATTGTATTTAGACCTCAATATTTATAAAAGTTGTGTTAATTTGTAAAGCTTATCATCATGACCAAACCTGGTAAGAATGATAAACCGAGTAACTGTGAGCTTATTTTCTGCAATACCCGAAATCCAAAAATCCAATGGGATTTTTATCAAGGGAACCAGGGTTGGCCTACAAAAATACATCATCACTTCAGCGCCCTATGTAAACTTAGCATTCCAAAACAAATTTGCTATATTGTTGATTTTTAAATATTGACCAAGGTTTTAAGTCACTCTCACTTTTAGCCTAAGATTACAGACAACCTCAAGGTGACTGTGCACAAAACCGGACTCACTGCCAACCAAACTCTTGCTGGAGGTGCCTACGTGTGTCCTTTCACATAGTCTCTAAGGCTCTCCTCTTCTCAGAGAAACATGGACACCAAGAGAGAGTGTGATAAAAGCAGAGAAAGTGGGAGAGGCAGAGAGAGGGGGAACAAAGAAAGTCTTTTTTCAGCCTATCAGAACGGACACACTTGAATTACGGTTTAAGTTAGGGGGAGGGGCACTGTTCAATGTTCAGAAAGCATGTGTTTGGCTGAAAGCAGTGCACTCTGAACCGAGCGTTTCCTAGGAGACCTGAGGACTGTGAACGTGCGGCTTGGTCACATGATGCGTCTGTCAGAGGGCTTTTATGGGCAATTAAGGGCTCATGCAAAGTTGCAAACACGCACACAAGGACATCAATATGCAAGTATATACAGTGTTCCTTTTCTACACCAATTTAACAACATTGCCAAAGTTTGTTTACATGTGTCCCTACAGTCTCACTCTTTAGTATAAATCGTATCGCAAACAACACAAAGAACACATTATTGCAATTCCCCAAGTCACAATTCCCTTAGTCCTGAGATAAACAATTATTACAAGGATAATCACTATTTAAAAATTGAGCTCAATCCACTTTTCTTTGCTACAGGACACACTTTAACTGTAACTTTCCATACAAAATTTATTCCCATCAAAATAAGTGCTATGCAAAAATCAAACAACTTCCTACAAACTGCTCAATGAGAATCAGTTCAAAGGGAAAATCATAATTTGAACAGTTTTTCCCTGATAAACCCTGTCAAGGTTAATGCAATTGTTGTTATATTAGTATTAAAATAATGCAACTTAATGATAGAAAATGAGGCATGGACATTTAAAAAGTTTTAAAAACATTTTTAAAGCAGCATTATGTTATTTTTTAAATTTTGCTCTCAGGGGCCCCCTACAGTTGGGAAACAGTATTGTCTTCTCCTGTTGTAAAATCTGTCATGGTTACACTATGGAATACCCCCCAACTCTGCAGGAAGGAGTTCTCACATCGTATGAAATTTCTTTTTTTCAAACGACTAAAGATCGCGTAGTCTATCAGTGAACAGAAAGATTCACACCAGAACAAACAACCAGTGAAAAGAAAGCACATCAAGAAAACAAGGAAGCATATGCTCATTTTCTGTAAATTACTGTCAGTTACAAGAATCCTTTCCAATAATTTGCATCAGCCAAATCATAAACCAATAAAACGCAATAAACCAGGACAATTCAGACCAACAAAGGTGTGGTTGGATACAGATATTAATGAGTGCAATAAGGCAGTCTACTCTTCACAAGAGATTAATCAGATTCAAAATCAGATTAAATAATAATTTTGGAGGATCTTTCAAAAACTACACTATCATCATGCAGAGATGCAGACAATTAAAAGTGCATGAGGAATAATCCATTACCTTCTGCTTGATGATCCACAACTGCTAAATTTCAGTTTCAGTTTTCAAACACGTCTGTACAGTCTGAAGTCATGTAGGCTAGTCATGATGTTGGCTCTCAACAGCAAGATCAGGTGCTTCTAAAAGAAATCTAAGGGAAGAAATCTGTCTCTGCCCAACAGGTGATAGATAAGTTTCTCCTATCACTGCTGTATCTGATCATGTGTGCCGACTATACAAACAATCACCATTGCCTACGAGCAGTCCTGCACACTCTCTCTCAGACTTAAAAGGACAAATAAATCATAAAACTACAAACAATGTACAGTAATTAAAACTTTGATGATGCAATATGCAGTTGAAATAAGCATTTTTGCAATTATTATATTTACAAATTACAAGATTTGTCTTAAAAAAAAAGACTGAGACAGCAGTGTAAGATAGACTGCAGATGTAAAAATAGCCTATGGCTAACTCTGGTACAATGCATCAAATGGCAAAATTTATGTTATAGATTGTACATGCGGACCCTAATAAATAAATAAATAAAAATCTGTTGTTTCTGTTGTTTCAAACCAAATGCAAATTTGCTCCTGTACAGTAGAAGGAGCACCTCAAAGAAATATTTCTGATGTGCAGCCATTTGGATTGCAGAAAATCCAGAAAAAGAAGTTTAATACTCTTACTTATGCAATAAAAAAAAAGTCATTTTTGCTTATGGCTGAATTGGATCATCGTAGGTCAGCAGCAAAGACATTGATTAATAAAGTGAGATGAAATACATGTGTAATTTAACATATTTAATTATTGCAGGTTTGTGTAATATTCTAAATTAGCAATATATTAATCACTGTTTTTATTCAGTTTAAGAGATACTGAAACTGTTTTTGTGCAAGTGAGATGAGTAAGTGCATGTTCACCTTTAGTCTAGAACTACAATAATCATCATGTTTACATGCACTTACTCTCTATTTCTAATGCGGACCGGAGAGGTGCCAGTCAATAAATGAGAAAACAAAATAACTTGCATTATTTATTTGAAATAAAGTAGGCCTACCTCAGATATTATGTTGTAAATGTAAAACTAGTAATCTGATTACGCAACTTGCATTACTTGTAATGCGTTACCCCAACACTACAGAATATAGGTTTGGAAAGATAAAAAACACTTGTAAATAATATAATACTTCCTTTAAAGGGTTTATTATGATTTCACTTTTCTAACTTTAGTTAGTATGTAATGTTACTGTTTGAGCATAAACAACATATTCAAAGTAGATATTTGCTTTTAAAGAAATTGCTTTTTAAAGGGGCACTTCACCCATTTGCATTAAGCTTTGTATCTTTAGAAACCCAGTCATATTTTTGAATGGTCAAGTGTTTTACTTCCTGCTTATTATAACGTAAAAATAGTCATTTTGCGTCATAATAAGCAGGAAGTCAAATTTCATTAAAAATTGTAGAAACTACAAACATTAGCTCATTGTTATTCAAGGGAGTGGGACCCACTCACTCTACAGGCCTATTACAGATCAGTGGGTGGGATTTCATTTGCAGATACTGAATCAATATCAGCCATCTTGTTTGGAAGCTAAGCTAACAAGCGCTGTGGAGAAAGGAAGTATGATAATGATGACGGAAGAAACGTAACATGATATGGAAGAAGAGGATTTTGAAATTCTGCTGCTCGTATAGTGAAGAGCAGCTGAGGCTGATGGAGGAACCGGAGGCGGCTGCCTGTCGCGTCGAGGAGCCCGGACTGGCTCGAGCTGAGGCGAACTGCTGTGCAAGTGCTCTCGCTGTGAACTACGGACATAGATAGAGTCCGTCTGCTGCAGAGAATTTCAACGATGGCAATTGAACGAAATCTCTGAATCAGACGAGCATACCATCCTAGTTTCACCTGACTGAACATCCCGGTATCATGCAGTAATTCGCCATATAGATAATAAATACAAAAAAATACAGGTGTAATTCACTAATGAGTTTGCCAATGTAACATTAACGGGGTTTGTTGTTGTGGGAAGAAGGAGCCGGCGAACATTTAAACATTTTTATAGAAAAATGAAAAAATACAAAACGAAAGTATAAGCTAGCAGCCCCTCATTGACGACTGCTGTAACGTTACACAGAACAGAAACAAAACACAACATAAAATCAGGCCTGTTTCTCTCTCGATCTGCCGTCATAGCTCCTCATTTTATGCTTTCGCTCTTCCGTGAGAAACACAAGACCGGCGCGCTGTGTCTTTCATTATCACTCATGCCACCGGCTTCGCACCGTCCTCTTACGCCCCTCGCCCTCGATCGTCCTGCTCGCCACAGCCAACTAACTAGAAATTTTGTGTGAAATGAATTTCAAACTCTGGTGGCAGCTAACGTTAGCCTTGTAGACGGAAGAGTGATTTCTCTGATGTGTGCGCAGTTCCGGTTTAGTGGGTGCGGCTTGCGGAGCTGTGCAATGTGGTGCATTGTGGGAGTTGTTGTCTTACATACAAATGTGCCCCTCGGTTATTTTCTGTCTTTCTCGGTCAAGAGAGCACCAAATTAAAAAATTCTTTTACATTTCGACTACATATCCACTTTCAATAAAGATTAATGTTGAAATGGGTGAAATCCTCCTTTAAGGACTACAACAAATGGCTGGTAGGGACTTAGTGACATCCACAACCCTAGACTTTACATAAGCCCCCTGAATACGATCAAGACAGAATATGCTAATCAATCACAAGAACTAACCATTCAGACTCCGTTGACATCATCTGACATTATGTTCATCATCTGTTTGAACATAAAAGGCTAACATTTTTTTTAATTTTTCAGTGCAACTCTGTGTGAGGTAAAAGGACACAAGCTGTTGAAGCTCCACCCTCTGTACCGGGAGCAGCGGCTCATTTGCATTTAAAGGAACAGACACAAAATGGTGTGTTTTTGCTCACCCTCAAAAAGTGCCAACTTTAACATGCTATATAAAAATATCTGTGGGGTATTTTGAGCTAAAACTTCACATACACACTCCAGGGACATCAACAACATATTTTACTTCTTGTGAAAAGGGCATTATACCACCCCTTAAAACTGTTCCTTTAAGGCTCTGCACAGATAAAATGGGTTCAATTAAAACTGTTTGAATATATATTAAATGGGCATATGAGACTTTAGGACAACAATAAAGTTAATTAAATATGTACAGAGACCATGTGAATTCAAAAAATGAGAGGAGACAATCACAGTAAAGTATATTTGCTTGAAAACGAACACTGACTCTCCACACAGCTCTGAACGCCAGCTAAAGACTTAATGGCTCAGAGTCATAAATATGACATCACCTCTCCACCAATCCACATCACCAATCTTTCCAGCCCTTCCCTTTCTCTCTGACAGGTGGTTTGTTCAGGTTTTCACCTCAATGTAAATCATGCCTAGAGTGGACTGGGTGCGTGTTACATGTTAACCTGAGGACATGAGAAATATAAAACTTCCTGTGGGTCATTAAAGTTCTTCCCCGAAACATGTTTTATCAGAGATTATGTAGTTATATGAGATTGGAATATGAGAGATGTCAGTAGCACGAAAAAGAAAATGTGATGTGTGCTGGTAAGCTGGGCAGGGATCTAAGATTAAGAGGTCAAGTTATGTTCATGTATCAAATGACATCAGTGCATATAAAGGTGATCATCTGATCTGCTACAATGTCCCTTACTGTTGCCTACAAGCAAAAACAAAAGAGAAACAAATAATATCCCAGAAAACTTTGGTTTTCTGTGCATTTGGCCAAAATAAGCTCAACTGGATAAAGTAACTTCTAAAAATTGCTGGGTTGTTTTAATCCAACCTTGGGTCAAATATGCACAAACCCAGCCATTGGGTTAATTTTTTAATTACATTTTTAACCCAACATTTGGGTTTGTCCATATTTGACCCAAAGTTGGTTTAAAACAACCCAGCATTCTACTGCAATGTCTCACTCCTTAATCAAATAATAAATCTTCATTTAACCTGACTAGAATAAATCACATGATCATTCAGGTATCTACTTTGCTGATTTGGTGCTCATAAATTATTTGATTAATGATCAATTGAATGCATCCCTGCTGAAACAAAGTATTAATTTCAAAACTTGCTGACTCCAAACCTTTGATCAGTAATGTATGTATATTTTATATAATCACACTGAACAAAGACCTCAATGTTCGGTACTCACTGAAGTATCCAATTTTTTATAAAACATTTCCTATATGTCACAAAGAAAGTTCAAAATTCTAAATAGAGCAAACTTACACATTAGTATATTCTGCATAATCCAAACTATATTTATAGCAATGTATGCACATTGCACATTTTGGAGATTACTATGCTCTTTGATTCAGAATTTGTCCAAATATCCAGTCATTTTAGTTAGGAAATAGGAAACATATAGGAAAGCTGTCAAGGCATTGTCAATCTCTCCTGCCCCTTCTATTCTTTGTGGAGACAAAATTACAGGGAAAAAAACAGCAAGTTTGTGAAATAAGAAAGAAATAAAAAGATTTATTCAGCTAAAGCATACTAGTTAAAGTGATAGTTCATTAAAAAAAAATCTGTCATTCCAAAACTATATGACTTTCTTTCTTCAGAACATAAAAGAAGATATTTTGAGATGAGTTTTTTATTCATTCTATGGAAAACAATGGGCGCCGAATACTGTTTTGTTATCAATAACCTTCAAAATATCTTCTTTTGTGTTTTGACTTTGACAGTTAGAAACATCATGAGGTTATGACAGACTTTGGGGGAAACTATATCCCTTTAATCCCCAAAAAGACAAAATTGAGACAAAAATCTACTTGAAGTATCTTTAGATCACACAGTCCTCTGAATATTTGTTTAAAATTGTTATGCTAACCTCCTTCATCACACAATGAGCAATGTTGTGGCTCATGACAACATGCAAATTGTGGACTTTAAGAGCTAGGCCTATGTGTTATATGGTATTTATACATTCTTAGATAGGCAATTACAAATTTGTAATGATATATGTATTGTATTGTAATGTCTTCCTTTGTAGTGTTACACTCAACATTGCCTAAAAGGCCTGTAAACAAACTGTAGATATATCACATTTCACAGCAGGACTGATATCAGTTAAACTCACATCTTGTCTCTTTTCAATTTAGGGTTTCTATAGTCTCTTTAACATTGTAGAAAACCAAACCAGACTGCACCAAAGATGTCATGTCCATCTGTGTCATATCCCATAAACATCTACAGTATAACAGCAGCAGGGTGAAGCACAACTGATGGTCCCGTAATAGGGTGTACGGACAGCTGTAGCTAAAACTGCGAGTCAGGCACATAAAAGAAGTCTAGAGCTACTTACAGCACCTGATAGATGATCTCTGTATTGGGTGAAAGCAGAGTCGGGGAGACAGACGTGGAGCCTGTGTATTTCTTGAAACTGTCCTTTACACCTGCTCAAGGTTGCCCTGTCTTGTTCTGCTCACTCTATCGACTGGCCTGTGCTCTGAGAAGAGTAGAAAGGAGCGATAGAGAGGGTGGAGTAAGAGGAGTGGGTGGGAGCAAAAGAGAGAGAGGCAATCTGTGAGCCGACGCTCTGCAGCTCATACAGCTAAAAGCAGTTTCACCACTGCCAGATCAATTTAATCAAATAACTCAATTCATCAATTCATGGAACCAACAGATTTACTGATTCATTTAACCTAATCATTCATTTTACACTCAGGAATGATTTGATGACACCTTTGATTATTAAATTGCAATGCTGTATTCATTTGATAATAATACTCACTGAACTGAATCACTCATATGTGTCAGTGAATTCCAGTCAAGTGTCATGATGATACGGCTGTATGTGACAGAGAGTGACACTTGTATAACAGAATCTTCAGCTTATGCCAGTTTTATGTTCCTGAGGTTGTTTTTTTTATATAAACTTTTATATAATGAAATCAAATTTGCCTTGATCTTTTGACATATAAGCGGTCTTCGTACCATTAAAACATCCTGCAAGATTCATAGCATAAAACACTATAAACATTGATTTAATTACGTTCCAAAAACAACATTTGGATATTGTGGGATTTGTGACATCACACAGGCAAGTACATTTGCATATGACTGCCTCCAGAGCAAGACATTGACGAATATTTTTTACATCATCACACCATAGGCCCCGCCCACCCATTATAATTATTGACACTGCGCTTACATGCACACTCATAATGCGATTATAAAAGGATTTTGGCAATATTGCGATTAAATTTGACCTCATGTAAACGCAATGCTTTGATCAAACTATTGTGATAAAGCTCATAATCATAGTAACCTTACTAACGTCGTATTAAACTATGTGGTGTACGCCAATTCCGTTATTCTTTAATAAATATAGTGTATTGTTTTGTGTATTGTAGTGTCAGGGAGAGACTAACAATGACGGATTATTAAAATTAAGATGGTAACACTTTAAAATAAGGTTCATTAGTTAAATACTCTGTTAACATTAATGTCAATTTTAACTACGTAATACCAATAAAGCTGCAGTCCGTAGATTTTTTTGGTTTTTGAAGATTATTCAAAATACATATTTGAGAATATATCTGTCATATCCGGCGCGGTGACTGGCAGCTGCACACTCAACTAAAACATTGTGTTCATCCGCACTGTGCCGTGTCGAGAGTGTTGAAGAATAGTAAAGTAAAGTTGATAATTCCGTGAATGACTGCAATTGCAGATTTCGAACAGAGATGGCGACAAAGAGGGAAAACTGCGGACTGCAGCTTTAAGGTAAATAAGAGAATTTTTTTTATCTTATTTTTTTACCTTTTTTAATACATGAAATACTACCTCTGAAAAAGTCAGAAATTTTCCCCCAGAAATGATCAAAATGTCACTTCTGTCACTTCTATATATATATATAAATATATATATATATATACATTTCAGTCAGAAGTGACATTTTGATCATTTCTGGGGGAAAATTTCTGATATATATATATATATATATATATATATAATCTAAACTTGAAGTTTAGATTTTTTTTTTAAGGTCTAAGAACCAGAAAATGCCAATAAATAAAACTACCACACTACCATCATGTTCATGAAATCTATTACAAATTGCATTCATAAATTGCTTAATTGAGAACCAAAATATTGGATTCAAAACTAAAATGTTCACAACAGCTGACTGGAACACAGACAGAGGTGAGAAAAAATGTTCAAGGCCATTGTTAACCTCTGATAAAATAAGTTAATAACAAATATTTTGAGCCATTTTGTATTGTTCACATGATATAATGACAGCACATGATACGTTTTAAACTAACAACTGCTATTCAAAACAGGAACACGGATATATTTCTCCTCAATATAATGTTTTCCATGAGTCCAGAATCAGACTCTACCCTCTGAGTCACACTTATTTTAACATCAAACACTCTTTATGTTCCTGTTCCTTCTCTTCCACAACAATAGGAGCATGAGCACAAACTACAGAGTTCTCTGTTTTGCATTTGATGGCATAGCTGGCTTTATTTAGCTGAGCAGGACTGACCACACTCAGCAAATCTGAGAACAGGTGCAGACAGACTTGGAGAGCACTGATGATAAATCCCATGCTGTATTTAAATGAATCCATTCAGGGGCCATTAAGTACAATGGCCATGTTTACAGGCACATTTTCTAATTAAAGTCCATATTCTGGTTAAAACTAGGATGCCAGCCCGAACCCCGCCCACAACATTTGTTGGTCAGGAAGTTCGGTCTGGACTCGATCCATTGAGGAGTAATTATGATCAGTTCAGAAATGGTCGGGCCAATCAAATTGCTAGGGCAGGCTTTATACGATGATGGACAGATGATCCGCAGGGACGTAATCATCACGTTATCAAAGAGCGCTTAACTGGTTTCCCTCAAAGATGACTGCAGCTGGAGAATTGAGATGTAATAAAGTCCACTGTCGCGTCTGTTGTAAAATAAATCGACAGCGTATTAATTTTAATAGACAAACAGAAAACTGCAATCAAGGCATTTGTCGATCGGAAAGATATTTTTGCCGTCCTTCCTACAGGATTCGGCAAAAGTGTAGTTTATCAGCTGGCTCTGATGGTCGCTAAGAAGATGGGACGTAATGAAAAGCTTTTTAAATATTTATAATACTTTAATTTGTGAGAACATTTTCATAGATAAAAGAGTTGATATTCTGAATAAAGTGTTTACATGGGGGGAAATGTTTGATTATGACAGATTTCAGATTGCGTCAGATTTCCAAAAACTGGAATTTTGGCTTTTGGCCAAAAGGCATTTTACAGTATCAAACATAATAAGAATATGTGCATGTAAACCCAGTCAATTAATCTCTTCGGGTGTGTCTACATCTATGGGTTGCTGTTTGTCATTTTCAATGGGAAAATCCACATAAGTCGGTCCTAAACTCAGGGTAAAATCCATTTCAAACAAAGCATGCTGTGTAAAGGAATATAAAAAACAGCCTATTCATCATGTTCATAATGTCCACCTATAGTTGTATTTCAATTGATGAGTAAAGAGCTTCACAGAGCAAAGCTACACTGTGCTTTAATGTCTTCCCAGCAAAGAGTAAACGTTCTGACGACAAATTTCTTCCAGTAACGGTCTTTCAAAGTTATGGTCTTTATTAAACATTATTTATTTATAGCCTACATCATTCATGGAACTTCTTTTCCTGAAACGGTTAAGTTGGATCATGTCCATCTAACAGATAGGCTATTACTACGTTACTTGTTTCAGAATGTTCAGAGAAATTTTGCAAAATGATGCACGTCTATATGTTTGCTCGCTAAACAATACGTAAATACTCTGAGTAGGCTACAATAGTTTATTATTTTAGTAAAATGACGTCACTATAATCAACACTTTTACCAAATATGTATTATTTTTGAAAGGGCTCAGCACCGTAGGGATTCAACTGCAAGCTGCCATTGCGGATGGCACCGGTAAGAAATGCCCTATGTGTCCATTCAAAAACTTTACTCTATTAAAAAGCACAGCAGTAAGAAATCATAGCAACATTTTCTTGTCCATAACTTTTAACCTTTGGTCGCCTAATGAGGAAGTGCAGAAGACGGATAAAGGAGTTAAATAAAAAAGAGTGGGGGAAATCACATAACTTTAGACTGCATTAAACAACCGTTACAACAAACATCACATTCAAGTGAACAAACTGTAGTGCTAGATGTTTGTAATCATCAAATGCATGAGTAGAGATGAAAAGTCCCACCCTGCCAAACAACGAGAACAGTCTCTTCTCTGTCCAACTTATTCGTTTCACGAATTCGCTGCCAAGTAGTTCATTCTGTTGACAGCTTATTATAAATGTGAAACTTACTTTATCTTGTTTGTCCTCCTCTATCCATGTTTGTATCGCTCATGTCTTTGGCCCGGAGTGAAGTTTGTCGGAAGCGCCTCGAGCTGTCAGGAGCCTGTGGGCAGATCTGTGAAGTGAACGCGCGCTGTGCTTGTGCTCCGTCAGAGGTCGCTCCATCACTGAGGAATGCTCAGCTGTTCATCTAAAAACAGTGACTCAGATGTGTTGTCAGGAGATCCATTTAAGTGGATTGAACTTATCATTTTATGTGGGTTTTTGGGTTAAAGAGTAAAAAAAAATCCAGTTAGAAGTCATGCGCATAAAGATAAAAACACATTTACCGAATAAATCCCTTCATAACAACAAAAACACATGTGACTTCAAAGGAGGATGGGATTGATGGACTCATCAGAATCATCATAAGGGGTTGTTTGTAATATTTTTAATGAACTGTTACACAACAACGCAAACAGCCATAACATCTAACTGTTTTAGCATGTGGGTTTGGAGTTAGCATGAATGCAATGCATCAAATTAAACTAGGCCTACACTGTAAAAAAAAAATTCAAGATTTGTTATCACAACATATTTTCTTTTGTCAAATCAACTTTACAATAATTTATTTAGTTGAGATAACTTATTATTTTGAGTTTCTGATGGTTAAATTAATCTACTTCATTGTATTAACTCACTTTTTCCAGTTCAATCAACTTAAAATTTTAAGGCAACCCAGGTTACTTACTTTTTTAAGTTAAACCAACAATATTTTTTTTACAGTGTAGTTCACAACATTTTTTCTTTTGTCAAATCAACTTAAATAATTTATTTAGTTGAGATAACATATAATTTTGAGTTTTTGATGGTTAAATTAATCTCCCTTAAACTAAACTAAACTCACTTTTTCCAGTTCAATGAACTTAAAATTTCAATATTCATCAATATTTTTTTACAGTGAAAACGGCTACTTTAGGCTATTTAAGTCAAATTGTATCTACAAAACAATGATTGCAAGATCCTTAAAATCAGCAGTTTTTCCCATAAACAAAATGTTGCTCATGGTCACATCACATTCCACTTCTTATGTGACCTTAAAAAGGAGATGTGAGTGTATGATATTGATGACATCACAGCTCTTTTCTGACATGTCAAGCTGACAGTATTACAACTGACTGTGTTACAACACTCCCCGGTCTCCCACCTGAATTCACACTATGGAACTGTTTTATCCAAAGCTTACTATGCCTACATTTAAAGTAGGCCTATAAATTTTATCAGTTCGTGTATTTCCGTTGCTACTGTTTATTGGGCTTCAAAATCATTATTCATTTTATTGAATTAAAATTGGATTTCAGGTCATTGCATCACAGTTGAATTAATTCAGACGGGTCATGCAAGCCGCTAAAGACTACAGTTAAAACAAAATATTAATAATACAAATATTTAATTATATTTCACAAAATTTATTGTATTTTTAATCAACTTATTTTTGCTTTTTTTACCCTTGGTGAATATCTTTCTTTTAAAAGCATTAAAAAGTCTTACTGACTAACTGAGTTGTTGTGTGTTGTTTCTAAGCACCACTCATCACTGCACACACCTCACTATCTGATAAACACACACCTCAGTTCAGTCTGCAGCCGTGAACCAGAAAATAGACCCAATACTGCCATCTCCTGATCTCCCGTAGCTGAGAATTGCAGCAAACTTACCTTTGCTTCTCCCTCGTGTTTTGAGGTTTGCTCTCTGTTACTGTAAGAGAAGGACTTTCATTATTATCATGCATCATTTGCAAGTTAATCATCTGTTTGTTTCTGCATCCGCTCTGTGATCAATAAAGTGTTTTTGGATTAACCCTCAAGCTCAGTGTGTATATCCTGACATAAATCTTTTATTCCTTATTCACAATTAAATGGTAATTTGAAATGTAGTAATAAAACACTCATAACAAAAATATAAAGTCATAAAACATTGGAAATTGTGTTAGCATTGACATTAACTGATCTATTAAAGTCACAAAATATCTATGACTGAATCAAACTGACTTCTTTAGAAGATTTGGTTGCCTTTCCTACTACGTTTGTCAATCCGCCACCACTTTTCCCAGGTAAGAGGCTCAATTATTCTCTCTCAAGTCAGAAGAGGTGAGAGACATTCAGCTAAAGTTAGTCTGGATAGCACTGCATTTCTATGGTGGTTGAAGACAAAATGATACTCTTAATTCATAAATCACAATAATAATTTATAATTAATTAATAATAATAATAATAATAATACATAATTATACTACATAATCATAATTCACATTTGAATGAAAGTGACGAGGGAATTTATGAAATTATTTGCATTCTTTTTGCCATGCACCATTTTAAATCCTCTGCATCTGGCTCCACAACTTTAGAAGTCCCCTGCAAAACAAACCTTCACCGCTTAATCATTTAACGAAGATGGCCTTTACATTGCTGCTTGCTTTCATTTGCGTTAAATACACTGGTTTGGATGAATGTGTTCCTAAACATCATGTCCATATGGCTTCTTTCTCTTTAAAACAATGGGGCTGTTCATGCAATGTCTTTCTCAGAGATCCTCTCAAAAGAGTATCGAGCTGAACTCAGTGGAGCAGTGGATGCGGAAACATGTGTGTGTCTGCTGCACATGTTGAGCTATTTTGGCTTCCTGAGCTAAGCATGAAAGGCAGCTTGGGAATGCTGACCTCTGACCTCCATTCAGACTAAGGCTTTTCTGAAATATTGACCACAATCCAGGGATATTATAATTAAACAAAACTAAAATTGTAACTAAAACCATTCATTTTTTAAAAACAAAATTTACAGAAATAAAAAAAATAAAAATGTACGTAATTCATTTTAAAAAAAACTTTATACTTTTTTAATTAAAATAAATTACAAAAACACAATGAAATGACTCAAATTTTAACTATGAACTATGAATCATAAAAAGAAAAACTTTCAAAAAGGTTCCAAATATAAAAACTATAATATCTCAATTAGACTAAAACAACACAACAGTGTGTGTGTGTGTGTGTGTGTATTAGTACTTTTTTGTACAATGCCCCTGTGACAGCGCTGTACCTTTTTTCAGTGCTGTTTTCTACAGAGCTGCTTTATAAAGGATTTGAACTCGTTTCATATTTGACAGAGCCGGACAGTATCGGAGTACATTTATTTGAGTACAGTACAAGTACAATTTTGAGGGATCTGTACTTTACTCGAGTATCATTTTTAGGGTGTACTCATGACTTTACTCAAGTAGAT